AGAGTAGCAACTGCATACTTCAGCAAATTTACTTTAGAATAATTCACCCCTCAAGGAAGGTTCCTTGATACTGGTAAGGGGCTCTTGATCTAGGGAATTGGATTTGTGTTCCAGTTCCCCGAATTATGCCTGAATACCTTCCACATCCCCTCCCCTGCAGGTGCTTTATAATCCTATGGGTTTAGTGCCTCTCCCTTGATTATAATAATAATAATAATAATTTAGAACAAGGCTGATAGCAATTCTTTTCCTTATCTAAGAACTGGATTAAAAAAAAAAAAAAAAAAAAAAAAAAAAAGGATAAGTTTCTCACCAATGAGGCCAAAATGAGTGGGAGGATTGGGGATATTTATGGACTATTGAAGGAAGCTTACAACCGTCAAACAGAAGTTCAGTGATATTGCTCAAGCACTGCCATTGCCTGGACAGGAAATGTTACGAGATACTGATACGATGGTATTATGCATCACCCCACCAGATAGTGGATTATTATTATTATTATAATCAAGGGGAAGCGCTAAACCCGGAGGATTATACAGCGCCTGGGGGGGGGGGATGTGGAAGGCATTCAGGCTTAATTCGGGGAACTGGAGCACAGATCCAATTCCCTAAATCAAGAGCCCCTCACCAACATCAAGGAACCTTCCTTGAGGGGACCAGATAGTGGAAAGCAATGCAAAGTCAGCCAACTGAGTCAAGTGGGACCAGCACTGAACCTCCCATCTGACCTCTGTCCCTTTACCAAAGAAGTGTTGCCCACCTGCAGGCTCAACTATCAAGCAAGAGGAAACAAGTTTATGGGTCACCATGCATGGCAAATGCACAGGGAAGTATTTAGTAGTCTCTACCAATCATGACCACCATCCTTAGGGAGTGGGAGTGGAAGCCCACCCAGTATTGGCCATGATAGCAAAGTCCGTAATCTCTGCACCAGGTATACGTATATAAAGGACCTGCCATAAGGGGAATCATTAGAAAATTTTTCTATCATCTAAGACAATGCCAATAGCTTAAGGAATACCTTGACTAGGTGAAATAAAACTAAAGATCAGACTGGCATTTCATATTATGTACAAAAATCTACACTTTGTGACTAGGATGATTGGTTGGAGGGCATAATGCCAACAAATATGTAGACAAGGACAAAAGCATACAGAACAAACATTTGTTTGGGCAACATTTTTCTTTAAGTGGAACAATTCAAGTGATAACTTGAAAAAGCTCTACTTAAAAGCTAAATATTATACAAAGGCTTTTTCTATATGTCTGTCTTTGTATACAGTACTAGGATGATGATGTCATAAAGACAATGATAAAAATAATGAACAATAATTCAACACAACACTGGGAATTATGTATAAATCTTTGAGGAAGATACAGTACAAGAAATTTATTAAAGTTTGAATGAGGCAGAATTTACTTGGAGGTCTTTTGAATTACAAGAATTATGTAATTTTCATATAGCTAATTTATAATATTCAGCAATTTTCACAAAATTTTGTGTAGGGCACATGAACATACTATATTGTACCGGGATCTTAGCTAATTATACAGTGGACCCCCGGTTAACGATATTTTTTCAATCCAGAAGTATGTTCAGGTGCTAGTACTGACCGAATTTGTTCCCATAAGGAATATTGTGAAGTAGATTAGTCCATTTCAGACCCCCAAACATACACGTACAAACGCACTTACATAAATACACTTACATAATTGGTCGCATTCGGAGGTGATCGTTATGCGGGGGTCCACTGTATAATATAGTGATTCATTTGAAGTGTTAATAGCAAATGCATTATTAACACAGAATTAAAGTCTTGACTAAAGCCTCCACATCTACGCACTTAAACAGGAGGGAAGTGAATATATCATAGATTTCTAACACAAGAACATGTGGCTACCAATATATACCGACACACACTGAACTGCTAGTTCTCTCTTCTGAGGTAGTGACTTCAACTATATAGGAGCCATGACTTAGCTAAATGTTCCTAAATAATATGGCACAAACAAACCCACATGGAAATAAAAAAAAAACAGGAAATAAAGTTCTGTATACTTCAGCTTCATTTGCAGCTGTATTGCCTCCATGTGAGTTTGTATATGTCACAAATTATGCCCTTGCAACACCTAATAAAAATTCCATTGGGAAAACCTTGTGGTTACTAATTCTTGGTGTTTATCTTTCCTAGGATCTCTCTCATGTAAAGAATGTAAAGAAGTGATAAATAGTTTAGAAGCAAATTAACACACACATCTGTTTAACACAAATGTAAACCCATACTCCTGGGCCATTAGGGTCAACTTTGAAGTGCCCTGCATCATCCCTTCACTAAAGTCATGAAATGTTAAGGGGAACTGTGTAGCAAGGCACTCTGGACTGTAATGACACAGGCACATGGGTTCAAATTAAACATATTTATTCAATCATATGCTAATTGCTTCCTCACTCTACATAAGATTTTTGAGAGTACAATAACAGAAGGGACATCAGTTGTCCTACAGTGCCAAGTAATTATACAATACATTTAAAGTTTGGATCAACTCTTATGTTTCCTCTTCATCAGAAGAAAAGTATCCCTATCTTAGTTTACTGCTGTTGATCTATACAGTATTACTATGCATAGTTAGCCTCCCTTCAGTGAGATCATTCAATATTTAGTCCAAACATTATTTGGAAACCATACACAGTACATATATAACCTCCATGGTTATAATGTATTAAAATGCAGTTGAAGTATGTAAAATTTTTCAGTTAACTAAAATGCCCCTGCCAACATATTTCCTCATAAACTTTTAACATGAAGCACAGTTAATTTCTAGAAAAATAATATCACAAATTCAGCCACAACTTTCAATATAATATCTGTTGTTAAAGTGATACAAAATTTTATGTGCCAATTTTGATAAATTTGCAGATACAATAAAGCCTTACTTAGTGCAATAGTAACACTCCTAAAGTTCATCATGTAACCTAGACACATGTAATATCAACCCTGCCATATGTACATGTTATATTCATGGGGTAATGCTAAATCCATAAGGGTCATGCAACACTTGAGGCAGGGGACAAAATTTGGTTTGATACACTGAAAGGGAGGATAGCTCCAATTCCCTGAATCAAAAGCCTTCCACCAGCAACAAGGCACATCCCCCTGAAAGGCTTATAATACATAGAAAAATATGTTAAGATTCTAGACATATTAAAGATAACAGCCCTTCCCGAGCCGAGCTCCTCACAGCGGAGATCCAAGGAACTCTCACCAGACCCAACATAAGAGACTCTTGATAGGGTAAGTATGGAATGCACCCAAGCAAAACTGGACTCCAGGGTGGTGAACAGGGTTCAGCAAGTTCAGCAGAGAAAAACTGGTAAAGGAGTAGGTCTAGCTGTCATACTCCAGCCTGTAACAGCACAAGTCTGCATGCAGACAGAACAATGTCTACCAAACCACCCCCAGGTGCAATGGGAGAGCACCTAAGAGTGTCTAGTATGTACCTGTAGAGCATTCACTGTGAGTTTCTTTACATGACAGTGGTCAAAGAGCATAGATTTTATATTTAAAATTTTTCTTAAGGATGAATTATAGTTAATATTTTTCCTTGGTTGGATTTTTAACAAATAAATTCATACTTTGTGTGTTCATTTTATGCATGGATATAAAGCTCACATTTCTTTGCTGAAGATTGGTCTAGAAACAGATTTAATATTTATATTTTTTCTTAATTATGAATTGTAAATATAATTTTTCTCATTTTTTACCAAAAATGCATTTGTACCTTGCATATGTTAATTAATTCATGCATACAGAGCCCACATTTTTTGGTAGAGATTGGTCAGAAAAAGTAATTTATTATATATTTACAATGCATTAGTATATCAGTGACTGGTGTACAGGGAACTCAAGTCTGGCTAATCAGCTTCCCTCAGGGAAGTAATCTATCAGGGAAGGGGAAGGGGAAGGGGAAGGGGAATGAAGCAGGGCTCTTTTTCCAGGGCTTGTGCCTTTTGGAGACAACCTGTACTTGATTATAAAACTTAAGAATAGTGGAGCACTGCAGTTTTCTTAATGGCCCATGATAGGCAAGTCAAACTCACTCAACCACATGTACTCATGTACCAGACTAACCTATTTTTTAAAGCTATCCAAAGAGATTAAAGATTAGTAGAGTTGTGGGCAGGTGAAGCAAGATTCTTATGTCAGACCATACTGACCTCTCAGAGGGCTGGTTGCATTACTAAAGTGGATCTAAAACCTAGATAATTACTCCACATAGACAAATGTAAATTGTATTGATGAGAGGGACAAATGTAAGTTGAACTGATGAATGAAAAGTTCACATTTTTAAATATGGCCAGTGGATTTCAGCTATAAATATGGAGGATTACTGCAATAAGCCTACTGGCCCATGCTAGGCAGGTCTTTCTCAAGCCTAACCTATCTCACTCACATATTTCTCCAACCTATTTTGCTTAAGAAATTAAAATGGATTAAAGGACACAAATCCACATACTAAGGATACCTTACTTTAATATGTTTCAGTTCTGTGACCTTCCTTACTCCAAATGACACAAGAGAATGAGAGAACTTGTATATATAGTGGAGAAAGCATGTCACTGGTGAAGATCAGGTGAAAGCGTCAGGTCATCTAACTGCCATGTCCCGTGGCAGCAGGGATTCAGTAAGGTGCATTTGCCAGCTCTTTGTTCTATGGTGCTGGTAGTAAAAATTAACCCTCTCACTGTTGCAGCTCCCAAAATTAAAGTGCTGAGTGTCATGATTTTTAAAGAAAATAAATATATATACATTTTCTTCTTAAAAAAAAAAAAAAAATATTGAATGTAATGAAACCAACACAAGACTTTTACCGTAAGTACTTATTGAGATATGAATATGTGAATCTGAAGATCAAACCGACTCACTGATGGCAACATCGGCCATTGCTGTGTTCTGTATGTATTAGATTATAATCTAAATAGAAAAATAAAATAAAATAAATAATTATTTATTATTTTATTTTTTCCTGTTATTTTCTAATTCTTTACTTTTTCCAGTAACTTGTTTTGGCCTATGACACCCAAATCATGCACAATGTATGCAGGGCTAACCTTTGTATAAAACACAATAGTACTCACACTAACAATCTCAATAGTACATTGTTTACAAAACAATGATACACAACACAAACACACACACACATTCCATTCTTTCAGTCTGTTAAGTTCCTAAAACACAGATCCATATACGGCAGTGTTTTACACTCCTTAAACATAAAGCATGTAGCTCTGCTTTATTAGGTGCCTTAACATTTGTGTAGACACATAACATTTTTTGTTTGTAGCAAGAAGTGTAGTTAAAAAGTGATCACTGTACTTCAAATGAGAGCGCATTAGGTGATCAGTATGGCAGCACATGTGTTGTGACCTGGCATTTCTGTATTATTTGTCTGATGACAGCCAAACAAAAGTGGTTTCTGTCACTATCATTAATGCAGAGTGAACCGCAGGTTAGGGTATGCATAAGGGAGGGGGGTTATTTGCTAGTGAAAGTAGGAGGTAGAGAAGGATGCATGATGTCATCATGGCTGTTTAACATATTTATAGATGGGGTTGTCAAAGAAATGAATGCTAGGGTATTGGGAAGGGATGTGGGATTCAAAGATGTTGGATCCGATACAAAGGTGGGAGGGGATGTGGGATTCAAAGATGTTGGATCCGATACAAAGGTGGGAGGGGATGTGGGATTCAAAGATGTTGGATCCGATACAAAGGTGGGAGGGATGTGGGATTCAAAGATGTTGGATCCGATACAAAGGTGGAGTTATCCCAGTTGCTCTCTGCTCATGACACAGGTCTTTTAACCCCTAAACGGTCTAAACATATATATACATTCTCTCCCCCAGTGCCCCGAATATTTTGAAAAATAAAAAAATCTTTTTTTTATTGAAATAAAGAGAAAATTTTTCTAAGTGTTGTAGGATTAAAATAAAAAAATTAGGGTCAGTACTTACTGAGATATGAGGCTGCAAAGTTGGCACTTAATGCTCACCTGACGGCAATATCAATATCGAGTCCTGCTGCTTGCAGAAGTGTTGCCAATATACCATTTTTTCTCATTTTTATATTATTTTATATAATTTTTTTTTTTTAACAAGTCGGCTGTCTCCCACCAAGGCAGGGTGACCCAAAAAGAAAGAAAATCCCAAAAAAGAAAATACTTGCATCATCATTCAACGCTTTCACCTCACTCACACATAATCACTGATTTTGCAGAGGTGCTCAGAACACAACAGTTTAGAAGCATTACGTATAAAGATACACAACATATCCCTCCAAACTGCCAATATCCTGAAACCCCTCCTTTAGAGTGCAGGCATTGTACTTCCCATTTCCAGGACTCAAGTCTGGCTATATAAAAATAATCGGTTTGCCTGAATCCCTTCACTAAATATTACCCTGCTCACACTCCAACAGATCGCCAGGTCCCAAATACCATTCGTCTCCATTCACTCCTATCGAACACGCTCACGCACGCCAGCTGAAAGTCCAAGCCCCTCGCCCACAAAACCTCCCTTACCCCTTCCTTCCAACCTTTTTGAGGACGACGCCTACCCCGCCTTCCTTCCCCTACAGATTTATACGCTATCCATGTCATTCTACTTTGATCCATTCTCTCTAAATGACCAAACCACCTCAACAACCCCTCTTCAGCCCTCTGACTAATACTTTTATTAACTCCACACCCTCTCCTAATTTCCACACTCCGAATTTTCTGCATAATATTTACACCACACAATGCCCTTAGACAGGACATCTCCACTGCCTCCAACCGCCTCCTCGCTGCTGCATTCACAACCCAAGCTTCACACCCATATAAGAGTGTTGGTACTACTATACTTTCATACATTCCCTTCTTTGCCTCCATAGATAACGTTTTTTGTCTCCACATATACCTCAACGCACAACTCACCTTTTTTTCCCTCATCAATTCTATGATTAACCTCATCCTTCATAAATCCATCCGCCGACACATCAAATCCCAAGTATCTGAAAACATTCACTTCTTCCATACTCCTCCTCCCCAATTTGATATCCAATTTTTCTTTATCTAAATCATTTGATACCCTCATCACCTTACTCTTTTCTATGTTCACTTTCAACTTTCTACCTTTACACACACTCCCAAACTCGTCCACTAACCTTTGCAATTTTTCTTTAGAATCTCCCATAAGCACAGTATCATCAGCAAAAAGCAACTGTGTCAATTCCCATTTTGTATTTGATTCCCCATAATTTAATCCCACCCCTCTCCCGAACACCCTAGCATTTACTTCTTTTACAATCCCATCTATAAATATATTACACAACCATGGTGACATTACACATCCTTGTCTAAAACCTACTTTTACTTTTTAATTACAATTTATTGTAGTTCTTGTCATTTCATAGCCAATCTTTGTTCTGACTCTAATATTAGGTACTGAAATTGTACTCAAATTGTTACAAACACATTGACAGGTGGATATTTACACCTGCCTTGGTCATTTACTATTGTCTAGGAATATATACAAAGTATTTATAGGTCCCAGCAAAGTTCTGGATACATGGGAGTATAGAAGAAGAAGAAGGAAGGAGGAGGAAAGAAGAAGAAGTTCCCTTAAAGCAATGCATAAGACAAGTGTCAGTGACAAGCATCCAGGAGGGCAGTGATGAGATAAGCGATGACATCTGGTGGGCACCAGCGAGGGTGCAGAGATGAGGTGAGATAGTGCAGAGATAAGATAAAGGATGACATTTGATGGGCACCAGCGAGGGTGCAGAGATAAGGGGTGACATTTGATGAGCTGGTATCTCTGTCTCTGATTATCTGTCTCTCTGTCTGCTTGTCTCTTTCCATCTCTCTGCTTGTCTCTCTCTCTCTGTATCAGAGAGAGCCACTGTGAACCAACAAGTATTCTTATGCATTATATCTACAAGCACAGTATAGCACTTTGGATTTTTTTGGTTATCATAGGTAATTTAGAGTATGTAAAATTGAATTTGTGTGTATCTGTGAGACAGATAAAAATAGATAGAGACAGGTAGACAGACCCTAAACTTGGGGTTAATATCACTTTCCTCTTAAAAGGGGAGTGTTAATATGACATTACATCAGTGAATCCTTGGTGTTTGCCGCACTGTTTGCACTAGCTGGCGCTCAATTTAATTGGTGCTCCCACAAGGTACTAAGTGATCCCAGATTTTTTTAATATGGTGCACACCAAGTGTTAATATCCATTCTATGCTGACCAGGCATCTCAGGCCAATCATGCCAAATTTGGAGGCAGGAAAAATAAAACATATACATGTACATACGTTTGGGGCACTAGCAGTAAGAATGTATATATACGTTTGGACTGTTTAGGGGTTAAGGAATATATACTGGAGACAAATTATGAAGGTAGGTGGATGAATTTGGGAGAGCATGTAAAAGGAGAAAATTAAACATGAATGTAGAAAAGAGCAAGATGATGAGGGTAACAAAAAAAAAATCTAGGCCATGATAGATTGAATATTAGACTGGAGGGACAGAGTAAAAGGAAGTCAATGTATTTAGATGCTTGGGAGTGGGCATGTCAGAAGGATGGGTCTATATAACACAAAGTGAACCACAGAATAGACGAGAGAAAAAAAGTGGGTAGTATACTGAAGTACTGTACATGCAGAAAGAAAGAAGTTATCTAAGGAGGCCAAAAAGGGTAGAGTGGTACCAGCCCTTTTATATGTGTGTGAGGCATGAGTTTCTAAAGCTGCAGTGAGGAGGACAGAGGCAGTGAAGATGTCATGTTGGAGAGCAATGTGTAGTGTGAGTGTCATGCAGAGAATTCAAAGCATAGAAATTAAAAGGCAATGTGGGGTCACCAAGTATAAATCAGAGCCAAGGAGGGGTTGTTAAGGTGATTTGGGCATGTGGAGATGAACAAGGACAGGTTGACAAAGAGGGTGTATGAATTTGGGTTCGAAGGTAAGAGGGGAAAGGGTCATCCCAGGAATGGTTGCTAAAAAGAGGTAAAAGAGCCTTTGAATTTTAGGAGCTTGTGCATGCAGCAGACTTAAGTGAGCATGTTAGATGGGAGTGAATGGAGACAAGCAGTTTTTAATGGATATAGAGTTGGAGTGTGAACCAGATAACTTTTATGAAGGGATTAAGGGAAACTGGTTAGCCGGACTTGAGTCATGAAGGCAGTGCCTGCACTTTGCAGGAGTGGTGATGTTGAATTTGGAAGGTTATCTGAATGAATAAAGGTGAATGTTTTCTTCTTTGGGTTGCCCTTCCATTGGTGGAAGATGGCTACTGAGTTAAAAAAAAAAAAGTACATACATTACATACATATATACATACTAGGGTGCATCAAATGCCCTGAGGTTCAGTAATTTGATTGTTTGACTGTCCCTATTTAAAATTTTCCATTTCTTGTCAATACTGTTCCTGACAATTATTTTTTCAATCTGAATTTATTTAGGGGTCCACCTTAAGTATTAAGAATAATCAGTAGTGTGTAATTAAGAAATGCCTCTTTGCAATTATTCCAAATTATCATTGAAGTGCTCATTTTATAGTTTTTTATATTCACTTCTAGCAAGAACAAATCAAGTACAGATTAATTATTCAATGAGAAATTGACAGTTGAATTTGTTAAGATAGTGAAGCAAAATTGGTAATAATTTTATATATCTTAATAATATTTTATATATGTTCAATAAGCAAATTTATTACATGTGCATAATTTGCTGCAGTATTTTATTTGTCAAATTTGTTTATGATGGTTATACCAGAGCTTTCAAAAAAACCATAAAATTATATATAATTCCCAATATGTTGTCAGATCTGAGAAGACAGATGGATAATTTGGATAGCATTGCTTTATCTACTACACTATCACTAAATTTAATTGCTAAAAAGATTGCTATTGGCAGGGCAATCAGCAAAAATCACCATGAAAGAATCAACATAGGTCACAAGCTCATGGTCTTCCTGTGTGTCAGCAAGTGCTGTAATGATGCACCATATCCAAAAAGATGCATCAAGAAACTGCACAAGATGAGAGTCAGCCAAACTTGTGTTATTCAAGGTGTCAGAATTCTACCAAGAGGCACACACTACAATGATTACTGAACCCAAGACATGCAAAAAAGTTATAAAATTTCTTGATAGTACATATTTGACGGTGAGGGCCATACCCTCCAAAAGATCAATACCAGCCTCTCTCTTAAAAAGATAGATCATAACTGAGAAATAAGCTGAAATATTTATGCTGTGGCCTACCAATGCTGAACAGCTAATCAAGAATGTGGGGGACAGATTTCCTACAATCAATGAAGGTCAACTGGTCAGCCACATCCGGACTGTAAGGTAAGGTGCTGGGTGCAAAGGTACAGCAACAACAGATATATAAGCAATGAGAGGCAGAAAGATGCATAAAGATGCAGCAAGAAATGGCCAGTAAAAGCTCATGTATCCAGAGCATCAATGATTGTGCCAGTGATGAGGGTGGCATAAGTCAAGGAAAGTGAGCATATCCAGTGCTTGTACATTAACAAGTACTCCAAGAGGTCATTATTACACAGCCCATACTAGAATGGAGGTTTTCCCTGGGCATTGTTCTCTGACCAAAGATAGTTTCTCTAGCAGCTTGCCTGAAGGTGATGCCAACACAACAAGAAGTGTACACAGAAGCATTAGGAGATCCACATATTCTCAACATTGTACTCAACAGTATACAGGTCACAGCAACAGACTGAGGACATGATGGGAAAAACTTAGAGCAGTGGGTCACTCCAAAGCTTGCTTCTTTGCACTGGTATCCCAAACTTATGGTATCATTACCCAGTAAAAATACGACGAGGAACACCTAACTGTGTACTTGGAAATATGCATACGCTAAAGTTTCTCAGTGTTCCTTAGTATCTACTTGGCACTGATAAAGAATCTGGTGATATAAATGCCAATAAAATACATCAGAGCAGTATGTGATAATCCAGCAGAAGACTGTATGGAAACTTCTGTGGTCTGCCTACAGGCATCATGTTAAGGAGCCTTTCCCTCATGTTTTTAATGACCTACAGACTGAAGCCTCCCAAATGCCAGATTTCACCCCCTTTTTACCAGGATTTGCAAAAATTTTGATTTGCTGCCACACACCAGTGATCAGCCACTGTCACAAATCAACTTACCTTCATTCAGTAATGTAGTCCAAAGCAATTACTCCTGAGAGATGACTACCTGAAATTTGTTAACCTATATAGTGTTCCTTTATGAGCAAGTGGTTGAAAATGCAGTCACATTCAAAAACAAGGTCCACAACACAAGATCAGATGTAGGAAAAGCTGCTGTAATTAGTCAAAGTGTACTTGCTCTAGAAGCATATCAAGGTGTTGCCTCCTGGCACAATCACTACATAGAAGCAAGTCTCTGAAGTGAGGGACATTGTAACCTTTGCTACTCTCATCTACAGCATTTGGAATGACTTGCAATTCTGCTGAGGATGCCCAATGGAATGACCTTCTGCTTTAGTTTGAGGCTGTGAACAAACTGGTCTCCAGCAATGCAAGCCATATATTTCAGCTTAATGTCTGTTACTTGACTGCATTCTTCAGCAAGCAAGGTGCCTGCCCAAGCATGATGTGCTCTTGCTGATAGTCTGCTCTCAATCAAGCCAGACACAGATTATGTTACATCTTAAAAACAACATGGAATGGGTTTCAGGAAATCACTTCGGCAACAAAACAAACATGAGTGATTTGGTTGGACCAGATTCCTGGTAACATTTCACATTCTACAGTTGAACACAAAATTCCTTGAAGAACATTCTGAAGACTGAACACTATCAATTACTAACCGAACATCAATATTTAACGTGCAGGTTGTGAAAGTCATCAATGACTATACTGAATGCAGAATCCAGCTCTGTTGTGATTACTGATGAGCAGCTAACGGTGAAGAATATTAACAAAATGTAGAAAAGTTGTTGAACAAGATGGCAAGTAGTTGCCACAATTGCACAAGCAAAACTGAAAGGCAACTTGTAACTACTTTTATGAAAATGTGATTTTTTTTACATTCTTCCTCTACATAGAGAGACTTGCAGTCAAACACAGACAGGTTGTAAATAACTGGCTTTCATTTTCCTACTAGTAACATACATTTTTTGGAATGAACACCATACATTTCTGTCCATGACAGTATGAATGTGAAAATACATTATGATTTTAGTACAGTATTTCTATATTTGTCTGCTTTTTTTTTCTTGGGTTTTAATTCAAGCTTTATTTACTTAGTAGACAACAATGATAAAGTGGAAACTTTTCCCAATTTTTGCAGGGAATGATTTTTAAAGAAATAAAAAAAAAAGGATAAAAAGTTCCCTCCGAATTTAGAAATAATGGGGCATTTGATGCACCCTAATACATACATACATATACAGTGGACCCCCGGTTAACGATATTTTTTCACTCCAGAAGTATGTTCAGGTGCCAGTACTGACCGAATTTGTTCCCATAAGGAATATTGTGAAGTAGATTAGTCCATTTCAGACCCCCAAACATACACGTGCAAACGCACTTACATAAATACACTTACATAATTGGTCGCATTCGGAGGTGATCGTTATGCGGGGGTCCACTGTACATAGTTTTTATAAGCTAGAGTATGTTTATATATTTATCACCAACAGAGATCACTGGCAGAGAACAGTACCTTGCCAAACTTTTGTCAAGTTATTTTTTGTATTTTGAGTTTCATGAACCACTGGAGTGGATAATATTTTCAAACATGTCAAGTAGACGCCTCACCTCCTTACTGAAATCAAAGTTAAGGATTTTTTTTAATATCAAAATATGAATCTGGTAAATATCTACAAAATGCAGATTTTACCTTCAAATCTTTTTAAGTAAAAATTTTAAGTATCATCTGTATCTTGCACACTTTCTTTTTTGTTGTAAAAAATTTCCAATAATACTATTATAATAACAGAGAAGGAGTCACAATTCAGTGGCTGGAATAATTCAGAATCCACATTTTTCTTCACTAAATTATAACTTAATACTGAAAACTGTGTTAATAATACCATACTGACAAAATAACTACCCTATAAGGGTCACTCAACACTACAGGATAAAGGGGAACAAACTGGAAGAAAAAAGTAACAAAAGTAGGATATAGAAGCAATTTGAAAGGAAAATAAAACAGTGCAAGAATGCAACAGTCTACATCAGAATAACAGGACAACCATGAGATTAACAATACCAGAAAGTACACAATGTTAATACAGGTCGGCCATCACTAATCCGACACTCAGTTGTCTGGTTCCATCAGTAATCTGGTACTAATTTCAGCTAGAATAATTTCAAATTTCATCATTATACCAACTCAAATTTCACCATTATACTGATTCGGAAATTGTGCAGATGGTTGTAAATCCACAGCAGCAAGCCAGTGGAGGAGAAAGCAGTGATGAAAATGAGGAAGATGTAGCAGAAAGTCTCTATTGATATGCTAATTAACTGTATTCTAAACCACTCTGTAATCTGGCAAACTCACTAATCCGGCACACTACAGGTCCCAGTGATGCCGGATTAGTGATGGCCGACCTGTACAGCAGAGTACAGTAAACTCTCGATAAGAAGGACTAATAATGGGGGAGCGTCTGACCATCTGTTAACCCTTCACTATCGAGGGACCCTAAATTAAAGGTTGCTTCTGTGTAACAATATAAAAAAAAATTCTTATGAACACGAAGAGCTTAATTTTACATAGGTAATAAAAGAAAGCGAATTAAAATTGGGTCAGTACTTCAAGAAATATAAAGGTGTCAAACTGAAGATCATTGATCCTGTCATGGCAACAAGTACTGTCACACACTTCTTATAAAAATATTTTGCTTGTTTTTTCCTTTTGCATTTTCATTTTTTTTTAGTTTGGTGGTATTGATGTGGCTAGAACTTTCTTTTAATGGCCAATGTCTTTTTATACATAAAAATAGTTGCACTAAAAGTGTCATCAGTATATCAAGTCAGTACCTGACCAACCGGGCTGTGGTTCATACATCAGTTTGCATGCAGCCAGCAGTAACAGTCTGGTTGATCAGACCCTGATCTACCATGAGGCCTGGTCTCGGACCAAGCTGCAAGGACGTTGACCCCCGAAACCCTCTCCAGGTAAACTCCAGGGATATATACACTTTTCATGCAAATGTAGTATATACACTCTTCCATTTGCTTCAGTTTTCTACTGTTTTAAATAATTTTTGTTTTTTAACACACCGGCTGTCTCCCACTGAGGCAGGGTGACCAAAGAGAAACACCATCATTTACACTATCACTGTCTTGCCAGAGGTGCACACATATGACAGTTTACACGTCACTCTAAACAGCAAATACCCCAAACCCCTCCTTTAGAGTGCAGGCATTGTGCTTCCCACATCCAGGACTCAAGCCTGGCTAACTGGTTTTCCTGAATCCTTTCACATATGAACACATATATGACAGACACTAACAATCTTATTATAACTTGAAAGTGTATGGCACTCCCTGATGCACAGCTGTACACACAGTGGTGTTTCACATTACTCAAACATAAGCCGTAGATCTCTGTTCTTAGCAGGTTATTTTGTAGTGTGAGCACACACATAAAATCTCTTCTGAGCCTATTTTTCCTTGCAAGTAACAGAAAGTTCAGTTAGAAAGTGATTACCACGACTCAAACGAGTGGGTATTTGATGTGTGTTGTGCTGCTGTGACAAAATAGACTACGTATTATTTGTCTAATGACAGATAAAGAGTGTTTCCGGTCTTAACCTGGTACATACTGTAGACATTCAGCACTGCAATGTCTACAAGACAGACAGTTATATGTACCACTGCTAACTCTTCTGCACACAATCAACATACCTAGTCTGCAGGTCACATTTGTTCACCAAATGAATATTATTTAGATAATCCATGAAAGCAGCTGGTCTCACTATGAGTTCACTCATTTTTGTCTACCTTTCCTGTCTGCTTGATTTTGTTCTGGTGGATGGATGTCAACAGTGTCACATCATATCTGTCATGCCACTGAAATGCCAAGTCATCAGCCTGAAATACCTGCACTTCACCACCAATGCCTGAGTTGAGCCTGGGCATATGTCTTCACATTCCATGCACTGTAGCACACACATGACTGTTTTGTTTACTGACAAAAAATTACTGAGTAAAGGGCTTGTGTAACAGTTATCAGTGTATAATGTATGCCCTTACCAAGATACGGTTCCATCATTTTCTTGATCACATCACCCAAGATTCCCAATAACTTCCTAGTATCTTCCAATGTTTTGTTTATTGCATAAACAATCAAATCTAATACCAAGCCACTGTCACAGCCATACAGAACTAACAATTTGATGCCAAAGTGTTTTACTTTTTCTTGGTAAATATTGTTTGAGCAATAGTCAGCCTTTTAAAAGGATGAGAGACTCGTCAATAACAAGGTTCTAGGAGGGATAAAAGAACTCCCTGACCTTATTTTTCAGGTACATAAAGACATTCCTAATCTTGCATCGCATGTCATTTTTGTCAGGGTTACTTTTGTCTGAAAATGGAGCATCTGCAGCACAAAACAAATCTGTTGATAAGGATGAGATCACTGAATGCAAGGTACATACTAGAAGGTCTGTCAACCAATACATTGCACTGTTGTGCTTATACATGCATACCATAGGCATGCATGATTATGGCAAAGAAGAGATATGTGTCAGCCACACTTGTCTTTCCATTTAGAAAGCCACAGATAAGATATAAGATTTTGTTCCGATTTTTAACTCCGGAGGGTTAGCCACCCAGGATAACCCAAGAAAGTCAGTGCGTCATCGAGGACTGTCTAACTTATTTCCATTGGGGTCCTTAATCTTGTCCCCCAGGATGCGACCCACACCAATCGACTAACACCCAGGTCCCTATTTGCTGCTAGGTGAACAGGACAACAGGTGTAAGGAAACGTGTCGAAATGTTTCCACCCGCCGGGAATCGAACCCGGGCCCTCCATGTGTGAAGCGGGAGCTTTAGCCACCAGACCACAGCCATACTGCAACATCAGTGTTTGCTATTGTATACTAGTAATACCTGTTGGACTGCATCACTTATTTTGATAAGTGATTCATCAAAATTCAGTTCATCTGAATCACCATTCACAGTACAATTCAGCAAGATTCCATTGTGTGTCTCATCAAATCGATGGGAGCTGGCATAAAATTTGCATCCTCTTGCCAATCCCAGATGCAATCTAATGGAGGTTGCTAATGTGTGTGATTGGTTGTAGTGGTGGTAGTTGTGGTTGTTATATGTGTGGGGTGGCTGCTGCCAATGGTATTTCGGATATGGGACATGCGTCTCTACTAGGACTGGTGCTGATGCCACATGCATCTTTGTCCTAACACCCAGTGCTGCATGTGTGGCTGGCATTGCCTGCAGTCTTTTATGTCAATGGAAGCATCACCATAATCACTATCAATGGCTGATAGTGAGCCCCATGAGCCTCTGGAGATAGTCCTAGCCATGCTACTAGACCATGTACAGTGAAATATATATTGACACTCAGTGTTATGTTGACTCTGATAACTGACAGAAGCAAAATTCCAACACACTCAAACCTGGCATTACATGTCCATCCAACAGTCCCTAAGCCACTCTGCTCAAGCTGGTTTATAAGCCAAGTTCTAGGGACTGATGTCTGTGTGTTATTTCCCATACCCATAATGAAACTCATGAGGTAAAACTCATGTTGTCTGAGCTCCACAATTTTGTGTAGAGCTTCTAAATTCATAGATAATATAATGAAAGTGCCTGACTTATTCTTAACCTCTCTCTCTGACCTCATCACATGTATAGACAAAGTGAAGCACAAATGACTAATCCAGTAGATCCTCAAGTATCTGTGGAAGGCAAGCACAGTAAAGGGTATCTTCAGAGCCCCTGATGTAGATTTTCTATACAACTTTGTTATTCACAATGATGTCCTGCCCCAATTAGATGCAGCCCAGCACCAGCTACAGGATACCAAAATTCACAGGCTTGATAAACTTCTATCACACATTCATCCCACACTGCACTTTGGCGCTCACACCATTAACCTCACTCATTACCTCAGCTGCTTGGTACCAGTACTCATAGTTTGGACACATGACATCAAAGGGGATTTCCAAGAGATAAAAACATAGATACTGAAGTTACTCACTTAGACCTCTCTAGCCTAGATGTCTTCCTCAACACAGCAGATGTCTAAAATTCTACTGGTTGAGTTTATCCTGCAGCAGCAGTGAACGAGTGGACATAGGCATATAATGGTCTACTATTTGAAGAAGTTAAACACAGGGCAATAGGCAAGGGTTCTCCTGGTGGTGCTCTAGGAAGTCCAAGCAGCACTCATATAAAACAATGGTTGTTTGGCTGTAGAGGTGGTGTTTAAAATCAAACTTAACCTGCCAGGAAAATTCCTTTACTTGGCACCCAATCATGACTTGGTGGACCCAGTTGCCTACATCAGGTCAAGCGATGAGGGAGCCAAGATCAATAGTGGTCCAAAAGCAGTTGTTCTTGTCAACTTCCATAGAGAAGTACACACATGGACACTGAGACCATCTACACTTTCTACTTGGGCACCTTCCGAGACATCCAGAGGTAGCTAGAACCCCCCTTTTCATTTTTTTTTGAAAAAAAAAAAAAAAAAAAAAAAAAAAAAAAAAAAAAAAAAAAAAAAAAAAAAAGAGCAGCAAGAGCACAGAGTGGTAGAATATAAAAAGCCTACTTCCTGGAAGCCATCAGTAC